AAAATCATAGGTAGAACTAATGTGTGGCAAATTCAAAAGACAGAACTAATAAGTGAATAATATGTGATAAAACTGATTGTTTATGAATCAAAAGACATGAATTAGTATATGTACAAATTTCACATACAAACTTGAATTAAAATTAATAAGCATACCAATGAAAATCAGAGGAGAATGAGCAACTTGGTTATGATATTTATAGTTGAAAGAATTCACGTGTTACCAAATTAATTTTGGTACACGTGATAAATATTTATACTTATAAAAAAATAACTACCTTTACTAAACTTTAAAAAATTAAGCTATCGTGTCGATAATCTGTTATGAAAGAGAGAAAAAGAGAAAAAAAATAGAGAAAAGTCAATAGACTTGTTTGTATTTTATTAAAAATCAAAGTTCCATATTTATAGGACAGAATTAAGGATACAATGGTAATAGTCTCTAGGGCTGCAGGGGTAAAATTTTTCATTCACTTGTAAACCCTAATCAACTAACCATTTACAACAATCCTAAATTTTTTATTATCAGACTTTGACACTGTTTGATGAATTTCTAACTTAGAAAGGTAGGAGAAGAAGGCTTACAATCTTTTGTTGTTGGGCAACCAAATTATTTTATGCTTACCGTTCTTTACTTGAAAATGATGTTTGTATATATAGAGAGAAACAGGAATTATTGTGTTCTCTCCCCTAATAAGTAGTTAACAATCTTCTAGACATAATTTTAGTCCTCACAAATTTGCATTAAGAGTAAAAAACTTACACTCGAATAAACTTTTATGCTAGATTTTTTCGAAGGATCGCATCCTGTGTGGGATCCCTATTCATTTCCTATTAATGATACAAACTGATGGACAACGTTGACTATATTAATTAATCAATGATTTTTCTACGAGCGAGCATAAAATTTTCAACTCCACACGAGCCATAGCCTCTAACGAACAATCTTTAGAGTTTCTACCTTGCTCATATAAAAAGTAACTCTAATTATAAGTAACTTTTTCTTGGTGTTCGGTTTAGTAAAATAAATTTACCTCTTTTTTAGAATAAGGCTAGGCCAGTTTATTTGGGCTTTTATCATGTTATGTGAAATGGGCTTTGTAATTGGATTGTGCATTAAAAATAAAAAATATTTGGAAAAATTTCATATCTAAGAGTTTAACTATGACCAATTTCAAAATTAAGAAATAAAGTTTAAAACTTTAAAAATTATACAGTATTAAAATTTGATCATGAAATAATTAATTAAAAATATATTTTATTAATTGAATGTATTATGGTCACAATTCTATACAATTTGTTTACAGATTATTGAATTAGTTGGTTACAAATTATCTCTCGATCTCAAATAAAAAAATTTATAGGTCAAATTATTTCTCAGTGACAAATAAAAAAATTTATATGTCACAATAAATTTATCAGTCATAAAATCATAAACTTCATAGGTCAAAATTCGTTTATTTTATTGGTCACAAACACAATTTTTTTAAGTCTCAATATTTAACGATCACAATTTATCAAATTAATTGATCATAAGTTATTTATAGGTCATAACTTAAAAAATTTAAGTCATAATTACATTTTCTAAGTCATATATTATTTATTGGTCGCAAATTATCTAATTTATTAGTCTTGATCACAATCAACCAATTATTTATTGGTCACAAACATTCTTCGTCCCACTCGACTGTCGTCATGACACCTCTTCCACCATCACCACCAACACAACCAACACCACAATTGTTTGTGAGCACCAACTCACCATTGCCAATTGTGCCACATCAACCACCATACTAGGATTAGTGCTAAAATCCACCACCATCACTAGATCCACTTGCACCACAGCCAACAAAAAGCACCCTAAAAATTACACTAGCTGTGCAAACATACCCCAAGTGATCCATCGGTACCAACACAATCTACAATACAATACCTGAATAGTGCGCGCTCATAGAAGTGGAAGCTTGTCAAAAACCACAACTATAGACATCATGCGGCGCTCAACCAATAGATCTAACATTGCTGGCACTCAGCTACAAACTACAAATCACAACCCACAATATTGGTTTGACATCATCGGTCAAAATAGCCCTGACGTTGTGTAGATTGAGATGTCAAGTTTGGGAAGTAATTTAATTGGGGTTATGAGGTGGGTGGAGTAGATTAGTTTAATTTTATATTATTATTAGTATTTAAAATTTTAATTATATCTGATTTTTGAAAGAAAAACTCGTGACTCTTAATTATAAATTGAGATATTGAAAACACTTGGTTCTTGTAATTTTCACAAAGGGAAATTTTCATATTTAAGAGTTTAACTATGACCAATTTCAAAACTAAGAAATAAAGTTTAAAACTTCAAAAATAAGATATTATTAAAATTTAATTAAATTATATTTTATCAATTAAATACATTATGATAACAATTCTATACAAGTTGGTCACCGATTGTCAAATTATTTGATTACAAATTATTTCTCGATCTCAAATAAAAAAATTTATAGGTTACAAATTATTTTTCAATAAAAAATAAAAAATTCTATAGGCTACAATTTATTCATCAGTCATAATATCATATATTTCATAGGTTACAATTCATTTGTCGGCCATCGATCACAATTTTTATAAGTCTCAACATATTTAAAGATAACAAATTATCAAATTAATTGGTCACAAGTTATTTCTCGGTCACAACTTAACAAATTTTAAGTTCGATCATATTTTTTAAGCCATATATTATTTGTTTGGTCGCAAATGAACCAATTTATTGGTCTTGGTCACAATCAACCAATTTATTGGTTACAAATATTATTCGTCCCACTCGACTGTCGTCACAACAACGCCATCACCACGAACACGACCTACAGCACAATCGTTTGTGAGCATCACCTCACCACCTCCAATAGTGCTAGATCAACCATCACACCAGAACTAGTGCCAAAATCTACCACCATCGCCAAATCCACATGCACCACCACTAGGGATGACAATCAGGTTCGTCGACTCGGAAAGCTCGTAGCTCGGCTCGAGTCTCGAAAGAACCAAGCCTCATTTTGGGGCATTGAGCAAAGCCCTCGCTGGCCTGTGTGGCACGTTGGCTCGGGTTTACAAGCCTATGTCTATAAAAAAAAAACAAATTATTTTAAAGGCTGGTTGCTGCTACGTTTATAAGAAAAAAAATTCAGCAAAACATCGAGCCTGCCCTGCTTGGCTCGAAAAGGCTCGAGCCGAAAGCTTGGGTCGAGCCTATTTCTTTTGCTTGGCCTAGACCCGAAAAAATGTTCGATCATTTTACTTGAGGTAAGCCCGAGCCTAAAATTTCTACTCACGAGCCGACTCGACTCGTTGACATCCCTAAGTCCACCACCAACAAAAAAACCCCAAAGATTACATTAGCTGCACAAACATGCCTTGAGAGATTCACTTGCACCAATACAACCTGCACCACAATATCTGACTAATGTGTCACATGCGAAATTGGAAGCTCACTGAAATCCCCAGTAGTGCACTCATCCCCGAAAACCACAACTATAGACATCATATGACGCTCAACCAATAGATCTAACATTATCGGTCCTCAACCATAAACTGTAAATCACAACCACAATATTGGTTTGACATCATCAGTCAACATAGCCCCGACGTTGCGCAGATCGAGATACCGTGCTGCTTGTAGGGCACTACATAATACGGTGCTGCGTAGCGTCCCTTCGCTGTTGCGATATCTCTGAGCCATCTGGTGACCCTGAGGTGGTGGCCCTTCGTGTGGCTACACTAGTTGTTTTCGACAATTGAACAGAAAAAAGATCGAGATGAAAGGTAGGCATAGAGAAGATGGAGAGGGTGGAATGGTTTTAGGGTTTGAGAAGTAATTGAATTGGGGTTATGGGATGGGTGAAGTGGATTAGTTTAATTTTATATTATTATTATTATTTAAAATTTTGATTATATATGATTTTTGAAAGAAAATCTTGTAACTTTTAATTATGAATTGAGATTTTGAAAACATTTAGGTAGCGTTTGGTTTGAGTTTTCATTTTCTGTTTCAGTTTTGAATTCATTTTTTGTTTTTGTTTTGAGAGATTCTTTTAATATTGCAGAAAACAAGTCTGGTTTGTCATTTTGTAAAATTGTTTCTCAAAAAAAAAAGAAAAAAAAGAAAACGAGTTTGATTTAAAAAATTTTAAAATAATTTTATCACTTTTTTTTTTTCAATTGATTTGATTATTTAGTAAAACATATCAATTTTATGCTAATGTGTGATAAAAAATTATATTTTTTAAAGTTGATAAAAAATGAATCATTTAAGTATATCTCCAAGAATCGATCGAAATCATCCGTACATAATAATGGCACTAGAGAGATGGATTATTCACTGGGGTTCTTGAAAGAGCTTAGGGCAAGAGAGAGAGAGAGAGAGAGAGAGAGAGAGAGAGAGAGATTTATATGTGTTTAGGTTTTGTGTGATTTTATTAATTATTTTAATTTGAAAATTATTGAGTTCATTTTCTTTGTTTTGAGATTTTTGAGTGTTCCAATTGAAAATACAATGAAAACACTTAAAACGTCAAAAAATCATTTTGAATTTTATGTGTAAAATTTTCATTGATTTGAAAAATGTATTTTTAAAAATAAAATATCAAACATGTTTTAAGCATTTTGAAAAATTGAAAATTGCCTTAAAAAGATAAATCAAACGTACTCTTAATTCCTAGAATTTTCACAAAACATTTTCATATTTTAACAAGTAAAATTTACACAATAATGTGTGTATATATGTGAATAAATTTAGCTTCTTTTTAAACGCCATTTTTTAAGGATAAATAATTTTGAAAGAAAATATTGAATATATGGGTAAAATTATTTTATTAGAATAATGTAAGATTAGAAATGAATTTTAATTTTAATTTTTTAAAATCTTATTATTATTATTATTATTATATTTTTTTTTTTAGAAGGGAGGGGTTAAACACACACCTCTTCCTATTAGAATGTTGAGCCTACAGCAGCGCGGACCCATCTCTCTCTCTGTCTCTCTCTCTCGCCCTTTCTTCGACTCTAGAAAACCCTAATTCACCAATCAATCGATACACATCATCCACTCTTCTCTTTCTCTTTCTAAATTATTCACATACTCTCTCTACTACATGCAACCATATATGTATACACATCGATCATTCAATCACCTTTAAGTTCCCATTTTTTCACATTTCGATTTCCCCTCGTTTTCATACGCTCAATCTATCTCGATCTTCAATTTTTTTTTCTTTTTCTAATTAATTTTCTTCTTAAAGTTTGTAATTTAATTGGGTTTTGATATAAAGAGAAAAGCACAAGGCTGGCGATTGGCGCCGGAATCAGGTGATGGCGGATCCGCCACTTGTACGCCCGCAATTGCCGCTCCAATCGTCGATTTTTGCTTTCTTAGGTTTAGGTTTTGGAACTGAGGTAGGAATAGAGTGGAGAGCATTGAATTCGCTAGAGCTTTCTGTACAATGCTAACTGTGCTGCGGGTGCACCTTCCGTCCGATATTCCTATTGTTGGGTGTGAGCTGACACCGTACGTGCTATTGAGACGCCCGGACAAGCCTGTTACTACTGATGATGTTACCGAGTTCAATCCCGTGGACGGCCATTTCTTGAGATATAAATGGTTAGATTTCAATAGTTACTTTCCAAGAATGAGTTTTGATCTTAGACGTGACTTAATTTGGATTTTGATTGTTTCGTTAGTGTTCAATATTAGTTTGTTTATGCATGTTGAGCTCTAAAGTTCTACTTCTAGGCTTGTAAATTGATATCATAGTTTTATAATTTGTTATTAAGTGTCTAAAAAGTGCACAGAAAACTTGTACTAGTTTTTATTCGCATTATCATGTATGGATTTGTATTTTTTAGACTTGCATCTATTAGACCGCATAACCTTAAACTACTTTTGCCAAATAATTTTGTGAACAAATAAATTGTTTCTTTCAGGTACCGTATACAAAGTGATAAAAAAGTTGCAGTCTGTAGTGTCCACCCATCTGAGCAAGCAACATTGCAGTGCCTTGGTTGTTTGAAGGCCAAAATACCAATTGCTAAGAGTTACCATTGTTCTCCTAAATGTTTTTCAGCTGCATGGCAACATCATCGTGTTTTACACGAGCGTGCTGCTAGTGCTGGAAATGAAAATGGAAATGATGAGGAAGAAGTTTTTGGTCGTTTCAACAGTACAGGGAGTACAGGATCTGGCGTTGTAAATTTGAGCTTATCTGGGTCTCAATCAAGCTCCAGCTTGACAAATGGTGCCACAACTCTGTATCCACCAACAGTTACTCAGAGGAATGGTGGTGAAACATGGTTTGAAGTTGGCCGTTCTAAGACATACACTCCAACAGCTGATGATATCGGACATGTCCTTAATTTTGAGTGTGTCGTAGTAGATGCAGAAACAAAATCACCTGTGGGACATTCTAATTCCATATTAACGTCCTGTGTAATTCCTGCTCCATCTCCCAGTCCCCGGCGCCTGATTTCAGTGAGTGGAGTTGATGTTCCTGGGCATTTAGATATGGATGGCAGCATTTCATCTGCAGGGACTTTTACTGTGCTCTCATACAACATTTTATCCGATGCGTATGCTACAAATGAATTATACAGTTATTGCCCCTCTTGGGCTCTTTCTTGGGCTTACCGCAGGCAAAACCTGCTACGTGAAATAGTGGGCTACCGTGCAGATATTGTTTGTCTTCAAGAGGTACAATTGCATGAGAAATTGCTCATGCTTTCTAAAGCTTTAGTTATATTGACTGGAAATGCTATTTAAGCTTCGTTAGTATGTTAGGAGGAGTAGTAGAAATATTGGAGGAAATAAGAATCGTGAAAAATGAAATGCAATACCTGTTGACTGAAAATGGAGCTGTTTTCCTCATCTTTGATTAAGCTTGGTCATTTTGGATGAAGTTGTACCAATACCAAAGTGGCCCCAAATGTTGAAATATACATTTGATTTGGAATGTTAAACACATGATATATGTTCTTCTGGTCAATTGCCAATTTCGTTGAGGTTCATTTATCTTTTAAAGTGATGAATATATTTGCTAATGGGTTAGGTATCTTTGGATATTTCTCGTACAAATACTTTTTTTGGTAAGTCTTTGCTTAAGCAATAATTGAACAAACAATTCCAGATATATTTCTATAGATGTGCTCATTCCGTCTTCTCATGTTTTTCAAATTCTTTCTTAATTAACGATCTCTTCTTCAAGTTGATTAGCCTTTAGAAGTGAGATTTTTACACTTCTGAATGCCTGTTAGTATTTGTATATTTCTGCTTCTGTCTGCCATATCCAAAATAGTTCGTTTGGTAGATGCACTGTTAAAACCTGATATAGCATATTCTTTATTTTAACTTTTTTTTATTTCAGGTTCAAAGCGATCATTTTGAGGAATTTTTTGCACCTGAGCTGGATAAATATGGATATCAAGCTTTGTTTAAAAGAAAAACAGCAGAGGTTGGTTGAAGCATCTATTGACCTGGCCATATCTTTCTATCATTTATGATGCTATTGTTGTATGCAGGTTTTCAGTGGAAATATCAACACTATCGATGGTTGCGCTACTTTCTTCCGCCGAGATAGATTTTCACATGTCAAGAAATATGAGGTCACAAAGTGGACCATATCGATCATGCTATTAATCCTTTATTGTCATTTTAATTGAAGGCATGCCTGTGTGTAGGTTGAGTTTAACAAAGCCGCACAATCTCTGACAGATGCTGTGGTTCCAACTGCTCAGAAGAAAACTGCCCTAAATCGATTGGTCAAGGTATTGCTATTGCAATGAATGATTTTTAATTTTGGTTTCACATAAATCTCTACTGTAACTTGGCTCATTACTTATGCTTACTAGCCATACCGCTGATAATTTTGTCGTTGAGCCTTCTCTTTCTTTATATAGGATAATGTTGCCCTAATCGTAGTGCTAGAAGCCAAGTTCAGTAACCAGGGTGTTGATAATCTGGGGAAGAGGCAGCTTGTTTGTGTGGTAAGAAATTCACTATAACGCGCACTGCTATTATATTCATTTGTTATTAATGTGATTTCCAACATTTGTCCATAGCTTCCTTTTTCTGCACTTTTTTAATTCAGTCGGTGGCCTATCATATTTGTTTTTGATTAGCAGCTTTTGTTCCTTTATGCTGCTTTAATTTGTGCTGGTACTGACCTTTTAGCATTGTTAGCCAGTCCAGTGAGATAGCACTCCAAATGGTAAACCTTGGGGACTGTTTGACACCTCCCACTCTTTTGAAAATTTAAGAATGAAAAATGCTGGACTATAGTCAACATTTACCTTTCAACGTGAAGAAGGCACTTGTATCACCTTTTGCTAGGTCTATTGCTGTGGGTTTCTGGCACTACTTTAGCTCATGTTGTGGTTAGGAACTCCGGAAGGTAGAGCGAAGAACTCTGCGGCCACTTCATTTAGAAAAATCATTCTGGTTAAACTAAAGTTTCAGTTTGAACAGAAAAGGGCAATTAATCAAGAGAGCTATGACGCAAAATAGAAGAGATCTCACCATCCCCATCCCAAAGAGAAGGGGAAAAAAAAAAAAAAAAAACCTTCAAAAAGTGAGAAGTACTCAATTCTCTTTCGCACAGGCTCTAAAAGAATGATGTGTGTACCTCTATAAGAAAGGTCGTTGAGTGGCTACTACAGCAAAACTTATTGCAAACCACACAATTCCCTGAACCCTATGAAAACTCATAGTAGAGATTTACGCTACATCCTATATATGATTTTAATAATGGTCGAATGTGAGTTTGAATTTAATAATGGTCCCCAAGCGTAAATAATGACTCCTACAGTTACTAGAAAACAATTTGAGAGTTTTTTGTAAAATCTTGTTTCACATGCCTCCCTCAAAAGCAGCTTCATCACTATGCCTATGGCTTCGAATGGTCATTGTTGGCATTCAGTATATTTCTTTATTTTCTGGATGCAGGCAAACACGCATGTAAATGTTCATCAAGATTTGAAGGATGTCAAGCTTTGGCAGGTCTGTTAGCTGATTCTGTCATCTCTTTAATCTGTTGACCTCAGTTTCACTTTCAATTGATGCTAGCATCTTTGTTGTCCATATTAGGTTCACACACTGTTGAAAGGATTGGAAAAGATTGCTGCAAGTGCAGACATCCCAATGTTGGTGTGTGGAGATTTCAATTCGGTTCCTGGAAGGTTTCTCTTCTTTCATTTTTCACTATATGATCACGTAATGAGACACGTGTAGTTTCCGATTAGAGCATCCATCGTTACAGATTAACTTTGATCTACAATTACTAGGGCAGATTCTACACCTCTTCTCATAAAGAATACTTCAATAATACTACGAAAATTATACATTTGTACCCTAGGACTGTCATTCATAACCTCAGAAATGTGAATGTGCAAATTTGACAAATAATCCATCAGTTACCGATTGCTTTGGCGGAAATCATATCCAAATCCAAAGAGAGTTGTTCCCTCTTGGTAGCCCCACTTGAGCATTTCAACTATCATGTCATGGAAATAATGTACACAATCACCACCAATTACCTGCGAAAACAAAACCACCATAGAAGAACAGATATTAATACCTATATTTGATCAGTGTGTATTCCTTTAAACAAACTGGAAATTTGAAACCCATCTATATCTATTTTTGGTATTACATATAACCCAACCCCCCCCCCCCCCCGGGGGGGGGCCCCCCCCCACAAAAAAAAAAAAAAAAAAATCTTTTTTTTTTTGCATTTCCCCTCAACTTTTTCCTATTTTGACCACACATTAAAAAAAATAAATAAATAAAAATAAAAAAATCTCTGATTTTGATTTGCGCTTTCAGCGGACTCCTTAAGTGTGGAGTCACTCTTGGAGCTTCTGGATGAGGATAGTTTGCGAAAAGATACGGCTCTTCCTTCTCCGGAGTGGTCATCAGACCATATAGCACTCTTAGCTGAATTCCGCGGCAAACCTAGAAATAGACGATGACACTGGGTAAGCAATTATCTTGCTGTTATCGAAACTTGCACAAGAACTACTTTTGAATGTCTTTAGTACTTGATAAATCCCTGTTTAAGAGATTGAATTGAGAATCTACATGAGAGTGGTTATATAGATCACGTTTTAAACACAGCAGCCAGTGTTTGAATAAGGAGAGAGAGCTTTTTGGTTTTGCGAGGTAGTTTATTTTAGTGATTTTCAGACTTAATTAAGGGAGATGCCTTTAATAATTTAAAAGACACATCTTACCCTGTTTGTAATTATCTAGACAAGCATAGTCGGTAGCAAGAAGTCATTATTTAATTTATGTTTGAATATTTTAACTGGTTCAATTGGAAAAACTTGTACAAGTCATTCTATATTGTAGTAAAATTTACTACAAATTCTTAAACTCTGACATCTGTGGTCGATGTAGATTCTTGTTTAATCTTTTCAACTGGTCTTTCTTAAGTAGTCTCCTGAAATAGTACAAATATAGGTAATTTTTCATAAACTATCTTGTATATTACCATAAAAGAAATAATGTGAGCATATTATTTTGTTTCCTGCAGGTGTGGCCTGAAAATGAATTTTAAAAAAAGTTGTTCAAACTATTCAAGGACAGAGAAAAGTGATTGTAAGAATGTTGAATCATTCTTTCCTGATCATTTCCTAGGTGTATCATTAGTGTGATCTTTAGATTTTTGCTCCTTTGTATCATGCCACGTCTCATAGAAAAACTTACTGTGATATCTATTTAATTCCGTCCTTTTTTCCTTCAAAAGAAATATAATTTAGTGATGTTCCATGTGCATATGATCAGGCATTTTTATACACTGGAAATACGAATTTTCCCTGCTGAAAGGGTTGTCAGTCTCGTTGCGTTATTTTATTTATTTTTTATTACCTTGAGCTGTTATATTCTCATTACTGGGAAAACAAATGAGAAAAAGAATACAGATTTTTCCGAACCCTCGCTCTTTGCTTCTAATGAAGGTGTATCGGCTTCCTCTCTTTTGCGTGTGTGCCGGAGCTCGGTTAGTATTCCTGTAGGCCGGATCTTACTTGGCATGTTTCTTTTTTTCTTTTTCCAACTCAACTAATTAAGGGAGGAGTAGAGGAAATTGAATCTATATAAGGATTGGTTTGCTTGGCACGAAAATACTATCTTGGACTGGTAATGTGTTTGGTAGTGGATTTGACGACATTTAACAGAAAGAAAAAGAAGTTTTTGTTTGTAAACATGGCTAAAATTGTCTGATTAAGGCAAAAAAATTATATTCTCTTATAACCTTACCAAACATGACAGAAATCTTTGCAGTGGTTTGTGTGCTTGAATGGGTTAGATACAACTGATGGAGATTTATGTCGTCGTTAGAAAATGTGAGGACTAATCATTATTGATGGACACCGTGCAGATGTCAAATAAAACGTTTAGCCCTCTTACCTACAACAGGGAGTGGCCAACGCTTCATGAAAACCTCCTAATGTGATTGCATACAAGATTAGGTTATTTGCTTCGAGACAATGCACAAGCAACCTGCTGATGTATGGATATTCTTTCCTGAAATCACAGATTCAGTTTTCCCTAAATTAGTAAAAGTTGGAAGGTTTTTTAGTTTCGACTTTCAGTACACTACCACTAATTCTTACCGCACTATTATGCAATTTAATGATCAACCTTTTGGTCCAAATATGATTTAATCAAAGAGCCTGTTGGGCATGGACACTAGCATAAGCTTAATCCTTCTTGGTCATGGAGAAAACATGTAGATGTAACCCTTAGGTCGATCTGGACAAATTGAAAATGCAACTAGGTATACTACAATTAAACAAGATGAACAATTACCACAAAATACTAAGCGACGCGGAGTAGATTATTGCTTTCGTACTTAAACGAGTTGAGATATTTCAGCAAGACTCCCATTAGAAGAAACATTAGAAAGTGAACCTGCAGCAAGATAAATATGTTACCCAGAAAAAGGAGGAAGAAAATGGATCTCTCTGTCGTTACTTCTATTTGGGAATAAAGCTAATGGCTTTTGTGAATCGCCGGGAATATCCCATGCAACTCTTTTAACCAACAAAGAAGAATTACAATTCTACGTGCCGGCATGCATTTTGCGCGACTCATAACATATTCAATCTTAATTTTCATCAACGGTCCCATTAATCATTGATAGAACCTTTTTAGTTTGGGTCTTCACTGATTCCATAACTTCAGTAGCTGTTTGTATTAAGATACGAGTATTCATCCTCGGCGTGCATAGGGTTATTGGGTTTGTCACAGAAGATTCAAGCAAATGCATATAGAAGAATCCGTTGGTATGTCAACAACTAAACGGTGATTTGAACCAACAAAAAACTGTCATAAATATCAACATAAATGCATCTTTTAACATCAGAAGTGGAAATTTGAGTTTCATACAGGTAATCTGTTTCAGTATCCTTGAGAGCAATGACAAAAGATACAATATATGCTCAAACTTAAGCATATCAGAATACCAGTACTTTCTTTGGCAAAGTAAAATCCATGAACGCGTGTCAATCTGAACATACCATCTTTGAGATTACACTTTCCATATACGCCCTATAATCCTCAACTTAAGTTCTTGCCTATCCCCACCAGAGAAGAAGAGAGCCAAACTCCTGGGAATTACGAGTCCATCTTGACTATCACGAACTTTTATATGACTATCACGTATGCTTCGTGGAACCCCTTGCCATACTAGTTTACGTCCAAAAGCACTGACTTCCAAAGTGTAATTGAACTTCTTTGCGTCATTGTCCTCGCCCATAAAACGAAGGAAGGCCATGTAGACTGGTGCCATACCAAGTGAAAATGCCTCAAAGTGCAAACAGAACTGTCTTCCAAAACAGTTAAATACCTGCATGGAGACTAGATTCAGATTGCAACTTGAAAGTTCTTGCCTATCGCTTCATGAATATTCATAAAAACTAACGTATCTGCTCGGTTCATATCCTTTAAGCGAATATCCAAGCACAAGTATAGAATGGTCAATAGCTTAGTTATGGAAATTTGGCGTGATTGGTACGAAATACCAAATTGGATAGACAAGATTTTTATTATCGCAAACTTTCAAATTCACCTTCACAAACACACTAATAAAATCTTGAGATACAAGTTCAGCAAGCCTGAAGGGCATTTCAAACATTATGCTTTTAGATGATCATGCCCGTCTCTTCGATATTATTCACAGAATGGTAACATATGTGTTTAATTCATACCGTCTTATGGATTTGAAAAGAACAGATAATGTTACCACTATCAACACATAAAATCAACTTACAGTTAGCATCCACATTGCATTTTCGACTTCATGTGGATTTGATTTGACATATCGATGATTAAAGGTGGATCCATCATGCATGTCCACCATGTGGTCCTCCTTAAGATGAGCAACGAGCGCTGGAATGTCGCCTGTTACAGAGCATTCACAGCTTGCATATGGACAGTTATAAGGCCGAAATCGACAATGTTGTTCGTGTTTAAGCTTGCTGTAGTATGGAAATATATCATGACATCCAAGACTTTGATATCTGCAGGGAAGCTCCAATGACTCAGCCACTTTCTCCAAAGCCAAACACCTTATGTTCCCGAGTTCAAATTGGCAAGTCGGGCAACGTTTATGAACTCTTTTGCAGTTTGCACATAGCGTGTGACCATTTGGACACTGCACGATACAATGAAATCAAACCAAGGACAGTAGATGCCATGTATGATTTATATTAAAGGAAACACCGACTATAATAGCCAAATATTGAATTATTGTGCTTCACCAATCCAAAATTGGCAGGTAGAGGAAAAGGGAAGGGAAAAAAGGTGAAGACTAGTAAGATATTTACCAATAGGACAGCAAAATGAAAAAGCTATTCTATGATGAGCAAATATGACGCGGAACAAATCTGCAAATGAGTGCCTGTTTGGTTGAGTTTAAAATATTTATTTATAGTAAGTTTTGCTTATAAATAAATTAGTATATAAATGACCTGAATTAGTAAATTAAAACATAAATGGTCTTTATTGTAGGACATCATCAGGAACTAAGTTACTTATTTTGAAAGCAACTCGTACCTTATTGTCAAATATAAATACATTTACTCAATAAAGAAAAGTAACCTGTACAAATATATTCATAAACAAAAAAACTACTCAAAAGTTTACTTTGCCTCCATTTGGCCCCTTTTCTTTCAAATTTTAATGTTTGGAATAATGTTTTTGTTGAAAATGTGCAGTTGAAAAAGAAGGAAAAGTTCTCGATTTACGTATAATATTATTTTATGGAAGATTGTGTGGTTGAAAGTAAGAGTGAGAAGAAAAAGTTGAAAGAGAAAGGGGGCCAAACAGGGGGTTTTATGCTTAGCCAAGCATGCCTTAAGTAGACAAATAAACGAGGTTCACCAGGAATTAGCATATGAGTAATCCTTGAACTATGAAATTGATCACTCAGCAGGAAGTTTATGAGAGAGTGCAAATAATTTAAAAAATAAGCTTGTTGCTAGCTATATCCATCATCTGCAGTCTGCAAACTTGGTAAATGCTTTCTGGTCACTGAATAAAGCGCCACCAATGCAATTGAAATAATGCCAAGCAAGAGATATTCATTGTGAGGAGATGGGAATTTGTCACCTCCAGAAAAAGGAATTTATGGAAAGAAAAAGAAGCTAATGGTGGCATGCTACTTCAAGTCATCCATGAGTGATTCAGATATATGATAAAATAAAGTCAAGTACAGAGCCAAAAAAAGAAAAAAAAAATTCTGGTAGTTTCAGTTGTTCCGTCATCCATGCAAGGTTCAAGTTTCCTTAGTATATGGAAAGTTCTAACTTGTCACCAGAAAGGAACATTAAACTTCAGTTCAGTTAAAAAGTTGAAGAAATAACCTGGTGAATAGGAGGATACATTAAATTTGTGCACTCAGGACACTCAAGAAGGTCGTGCACGCCATTACTTGACGTCATGCCGTGTTTTTCACCTGAACCAGCAGTACTTTTAGCCAGAAAACTATTTTTATCTGCCTTGGCCACAGATATTTCATAATTCATGAATTTTGGTCGTGATTCAATCACCTCTTGGCAAACTCCACCTCCAGGTGCCATTATTAACCCACGATCCCTAGAATACAACTAGCTTAATGACTAAATCCAAGACCATAAGCTGACTTGGTCTTTCACAAAGATGCATATAGCCTGCGAACAAAGATGCAAAAATGAAAGCATTAGGAAATCATCAGTGCAAAATATCATTTATACAGACTCTAGATAGGCAATTTGACTAAGCTATGGCGAGCAAGACAAAAATAAGAAAAATGAAGCCACTAATTAATTGAGGTAGATCCTTAAGCGCATTTTTCTCACAAGATATTGCATTGCATAGAATTCGACAGTATAACATACAAGATTTTAGCTTCTTTTGTTAAATAATATTGTCGAGTACTATCAAATTCACTCTACCAAACACTTCGTAAGTGTATTATTATGTCAATGGTCCAAACACCTAGATCAACATTCAACACCAACCGCTTTCTTTACTTACCCTGTTTTCCATTTCAGTAGGTAGCATTATATAGAAAACATTTAGATTAAATTAGATTCTCTCAACAACCATCTAGAAAAATTCAAATACAAAACAACCTTTGCTTGTCAGGAATATAGGTTTGTTGCTAGCATAACATTATCATATTCTCAAATTAATTATTTTGATTTGCATACATAACCTTGGATCACAAAGCCCTTTTCAATACATTTAGCCTTCACGCCATCATTCTATTCTTTCGTAAATGATAACCAGAATTTGAGTCCAACAATTTGCATAAACAAGTAGAAAATATAAATTTGAAATCAAGTGAATCAACATTTTCCGACACAACAAAAAGCTGAATTTAATCAAACCTATAGAACGTATTGCATTTGCATATCCATACAACATACAAAGAAAACCTGGCAACATAAATTAATTAATATCCAAATTCATTAAGACAGCTTTAAAGAAGCCCCCCACAAAAAAAAAAAAAAAAGGGGGAAAAAAAAAAAAAAAAAAAAAAAAAAAAAAGGGGAAAAAAGAAGCCAAAATGGCCAAAATAAGTAAGATACCCAATCAACTCTATATCATTTATTTTTAAAAAAAAAAGAAAAAAGAAAAAAGGAAGCTCCCACATATAAAAACCATCAAACGAATCAAAATCCGTAGGCAGAGAAAAACAGACATTAAAACAAACCCAGATTTTATTTGAAGAACAACACACACAAACATTTAGTAAAAAATACGAAGACAGGAAAGTAAAAGAAGAGATTCCCACTTGAGATTCTAAACCCCATTGTCCTTTCGCAGTGATGAAACTAAAGAAATTAAATTTCCTCTACTTTATTATCAAATCAAGAAAAAAACAGAGATCCTTACCTGAGATTTTCAACCATGCTGGCCTTCATAACCTTAAAACTGCAATTTTGAATTCAAAGATTTGAACTTTATGCTCAAAATTAACAAAAAGACCAAAGCATATGCATATTAAGGTAAAAACGAAGAATTTATAGAATCAACGCGTATTATTCGGGTTCAAAGAAATTGCAGAAAGAGGGATTCTTGACTACAATGTTGACGACCATGCAAGACCCTTTGTCAAAATCTGCATTTCTTTTGGGTTTAAATTTTATTTAGTAAAAAATACGAAGACAGGAAAGTAAAAGAAGAGATTCCCACTTGAGATTCTAAACCCCATTGTCCTTTCGCAGTGATAAAACTAAAGAAATTAAATTTCCTCTACTTTATTATCAAATCAAGAAAAAAACAGAGATCCTTACCTGAGATTTTCAACCATGCTGGCCTTGATAACCTTAAAACTGCAATTTTGAATTCAAAGATTTGAACTTTATGCTCAAAATTAACAAAAAGACCAAAGCATATGCATATTAAGGTAAAAACAAAGAATTTATAGAATCAACGCGTATTATTCGGGTTCAAAGAAATTGCAGAAAGAGGGATTCTTGACTACAATGTTGACGACCATGCAAGACCCTTTGTCAAAATCTGCATTTCTTTTGGGTTTAAATTTCAAAGTAAACGTTTTGTAATAAATATTTAACATTGGTCATGGGGAGAAGTGATGCTGTTTTAATTGTTGTTAGGGTGCACGCAACGTTTTGAATGTTCAATTCAATATTTTTCTTTTTGGTCAGTCTTTGTTTGTCCGTTGACGTTTACTTTCCAGAAGGGGAAGTAAATTGTCTCCGATTTTTTACATTGTTATTCTATTACAAATTATTTTGCTTCAATTTTTTTGATATGATATCTGTTCAAGTTCAGTAACAAAATATAAATTCTTAATAAGTCGTGCTTTTGAATCAAACCCAGTTTATTTTATAGGCCTTCGTAATTTTTAATGATTAATAATTGTTGACCTCGAAAAATGTACCTCTAGCGTGACCAACAAATTTCAAGACCTCTCACGTCCAAACAAGTCGTATTTCTGCACTCTAGGACAAATTGTTACACACACGTGGCTTTCTCCGACGGGAATGAAGCCATCCGCATGTACTTCGATAGTCAAGTCAGTTTCGAGAAGCTAGATATATTGAGTGTGTGAGGATTTTTAACGTGAGCCTCAATTTAAAATAAAAGGGTCAGTATTAGGAGTGAAATGGAGAATGTAGATAGCAAAGTTATAGTATAAAAGTCCAAACTTTCACTACCTTAGAAATGATACTAAGTGCGAGCTTTTATAGTGTGAAACAATAAGTGAGGATCGTCAGATAAGAAGACACGTGGCCTCATCCATAGGGATATAAGTTCTCATCATGGGCATCAATCAATACCAAATTATTAATGCTAGTACCAATTCTTCTTCCATAAGTTATAGCATGTGGTAGTAGAATTGACCAAATAGGTTAGCTATAGCGACAGTGACAGTGAGTTGTCATATTAATCACTTCAATAGATCCATTTTCAAAGATTTCCTACTAGACCCGTTCTCTAATTTCCTTTAGCCTCGCCTCAAGAGTTCAGTCGTAACATGGCTCGACCATCCCATAGGTTCGTTCCACGAGGGCCAACAGAGAGATTTAAGCCGTGTGGTTTGCGTACATGGGGTTGATTGTCGATGTTGTAAAAGGCATAACAATAACAATTTTCAACATTTTTGTGGTGGAAATTTGAAAGATATAAATAAAAATGTACTCCATTCGTTCCATTTACATACGTTAGTTTTATTTTTCACACGAATTAATAAATTTTATTTAATATTGAAAAAATAATTTTTACCAAAAATTTTCCTAATTAAGTGAGAAAAACAATTATAACTAGACAAATTAAACAAGGATATATTATTAATTGAACAAAATAAAACATTATCAATAAAGAAATATGACAATATAATTAGGACAAGAAAAAAAAAATTAATCTATATAAATGAGATAAAGAGAGTCATTATTTCTCAACTCTCTCTCTCTCTGATTATTTGAGAAGTGCATCCTTTTTTAATGAGAAGCGAATTTGATGGCAAAAGTTATAATGAATCGAATAAGTTGAATTAAATAATACTGAACATTTTCATAAAAAAATAATAATTTTTGGTCAATTGTATTGTTCACTGAATTTAAAACTAATTTTCAAATATGCTCATACACACTTATTATATTGTATGATTTTAAATTAATTATTGGATTTATCTCAATTATAAATCCATTAAAGGACATCAATTATCAATTTTATAAAGAATGGATAATGAAGTGTTAATTGAGTGCTAATGTTTGGCGTATTATTCCATGTGTATAGGGTATAAATTTATAGAAGTTCTAAAGGGCCCTCACAGTAGGGTGAGCTCCACGTGAATATTTTGTTGTATAAAATAAATCACCCACTTCATTATTATGTGTAGTTTGTAAAAATTTTCCCTGTACATGTAGACTGATTCATGTTTGGCAACTTGTGAAGAAACATTATAATAATTAATCAGTTGGAATATTTTAATCATAATAAAAACTACATAATGACCTCTAATTAAAAAAAAAATGTATATATCTTTATCCCACTTATCCTTAACTATTTCAATACTCGCAAAATTTCATCTGAATTACCCAATATCAATTTGCAGTAATTAGATCGTTGAATTTTAATTTTGTTGTACAATCAATCTCTCAGTCAATTTCATACATAATTTTAAAATCTGATATCGTAGCCTCTCTTTTCGAATTACCTCAACTTTGATTTCAATCTTCCTTTTATAGTACATTGAATCACGAAGACATGAACACCTATTCAGAATTGAATTGATTTAGATTACCGAAGAACCTTAAACTTTTGCAACATTACTTTTTGATAAGCGTATTTGATATATTTATTCATAACTTTAAAACGATAATATTTAATTGCTTCTTGGATGAATTATGGTCTAATTGTTGTATTTGGTTTTGAATATGTAAAATTCATTTATCGTACAAGAAAGTAGAAAAAGCAAAAGTGGGCAAAATTGGAGAAAATAGCTAAGTTGTAAAAGATCCAAAGTTCAGGGACTAAAGTGCAAATACTCAAAGTTATGTCAGACCTCATGATGAAGATTCAAGAGTGTTCGAAGTCAATTGGGTAAAGAAAGACATCAAATGGATGAAATATAATCCAAGTATGACCATACATCAAGTTTCAACCGAAAAAAAAGTTTTGCACCATTTTTAGCCTCATATTGAGACCCATTTTGACATAGCAAATGATTGAATTTGAGAATAATGTCTAAATCAAAGTTGTAGTCCTTTGTATTAACTTTCTAGCACATCTTGAATCGCCTCAATCAGATATTAGGAGAAAAAGTAATGATAAAAATACTGAAAGAAGCGCAGCCAGAATTTTTCACACGGAGCGACGCCACCATCAGGGCGCCAAGGTGCCACCAAAACAGAGCCGTGGCATTGTGGCTCCGCTTGGGTGCATCTAGGGTGCATTTTTGGCCCGTTCTGAAGTCTATGAAAACCCTATTTTCTACACATGACAAGACACATATAAATACAAATTTTTCACATCTTGAAGGGAGATTCACACATTGAGATGCAATAGACACACTTAGAGATTAAAGAGAAAAATTTAAGAGTACAAAATAACAAGCAATTCAAGGGTTAAAGCATAAATTGGAAGGAGAAGAAAATCTTGGTGCAAGATTTTCTTATTCAAAACCTAGTGATATCTTCCATAATAACTTCTTATTTTTCTTTCATTACTATGAGTTGCTAAATATAATTTTAGGGTGAACAATGTAATTCATTTGAGACTATTTATTTCTTTTATTTAAAATTCTTGTGCGTTATGATTATATGTGTGGATTTTAATTATGTTATCAATGCTTTGAATTTTTTGGCGAACTATTCAATGATTTCGTGAATAATAAGAGCGTAGAGATGCAAATTCTTGTTTAGACCACATATTAAAATTCGGTAAATTAATATAACGTATATAGATACTTATATTAATTGCTGTGGTTATAAATGAATTCTTAGAACTATTAGTGCGTTTAACTAAGTTTGATTTGCATATAGATATGAAATTGAAATATTTAAATAGGCTCAACGAAAACTCGAGAGAAGTAAATTGAATACAATAGAAGAATTATACCGAACACTACTTTAGATTTTATGAATCTCGATATTAGAAGTAAATGTGACCAATAAGTAAAATTGTTCCACCCTAACATCCTTTTTGAAACTTAAAGTAAGGGAATTAGGAAGAACAATTTGTATGTATCTATATTCTTAAAAAAGTGCATGGGGACGTGATTTGAGAAGGAAATTTTACTTCCTTTTGTGTTTGTTGGAATATGGTATATTTGCGATGAGTTTAAATTAAGTGATTGATTGTGCAATGAAAATAAGTGAATGAGTTTAACAGTAACAAATTGAAGTTTGAGTAATCAAAGAGGTACTCCATTCAATTTTCACACGTCATAATAGGAAACCAACAACTACAGAATAAGTGCTTGTTTGTACCCCATTATGTATAAGTAATGTATTATGGAATAGTGATTAATGTTGAAATGTGTGGTAAAAAAAGAAAGAAAAGTTTTTGATTTACTGTAATATTATTTTAATGAAGAATGTGTGATTGAAAATGAGTATTATAGAAAAAATAATGTGATGAAATATGGAAGAAATGAAGACAAATAAAGCCTAAGAAAAATATATGATTTTCCATAAGCCTTTCCTTTAAACACATAAATATTAATGTTGATCATGCTTATTTTCCTTTTTCAACTGCTATTACTATAATTTCTGATTTCTCTAATAGCCAGTTAACAATAAATAACATATTATCTTGCTCTATACATACCTACCTTGCTATTTATATGATATATTTCTTCATTGGAAAAATTGTAAGGTCCTCGATGCATGGATTGTACATATGAGTTGCCATTTTTGAAAATTTTATTGCAATCTAAATCTTGGAATATTAATTAATAATCCGAGAATACAGTATATGTAAGGTTATTCAAAAGTTTACACTTTCTTTCTATTCACTGTACCCTTGGAGGATAGAAATCATTGGTTTTATCTCTAGTCAACCTCCAACCAATATTAAAACTTTTCTCTCGTATGTTTACTCTTTCATGATCTAATATTTTGGTGCCTTATTCATTTTGCTAATTTTCATTCTCTATTTAAACTTGTAACAACTTCTTTGATCATATAATATTAATAGATATTTTCTTGAAGAAAAGAATTCTTCTTCTCTTTTTCTTTTTCTTCTTTCCCTTTCTTCTGACCTATAAATAGCAAAGAATTGCCATGCAATCCAATTGGGCCATGAGGACAAGCCATTCAAACAGGAGTAAAAAGTTTCATTACTCACTTAAATTTACATGCTGTCATGTTATACTCACTCAACTTTGATATGCTTATGGATGGTCACTAGGAAAATCACTCCATCCACCACTCTCCCAATCACCATTTGAATGGTTGCTGATTTGACTAGATGTGATAATAGAAAAATGAAACCTTGAGGTGTTTGCTTAATTACTAGTATCACGTCTAGCCTGATCAACGGCCATTCAAACGATGATTGGGAGAGTGATGGATGGAGTGATTTTTCTATAAGTTCAGTGATCATCCATAACCATATCAAAGTTGAACG